CTAATCTAGTTTGATGATTAACAAAAATCATTCAAGATATAATGCTTCATCACCCTCCCCACTTCAACAAAAGCACGTTAATCTTCTTGTGTATAAAGATTGCAATAGCTTTTGGATAAAATGATAAATACAAGTCACCTATTTCAGTAAAAAGGCTAATTATTCTTCGCTGAAATGTGGATGCTGCAGTACTTTGGAAGCATTTATGCATTCACATAAATAGACGGTGGTATGCAAGGTGCCAAAGAACTGACTACACTTTCTTTCATCCAGAGACAACAAGACTAATGAAAGAGTACAAAACACAGAAATCTACCCTGCATGGAAATGAAAGGAAAAAAAGGTCACATATGAAGAGCGTTCAGGAGAATAAGCAGAAAGAGACCAGAATTTATAGGCGTGGGAACTATTCTGTGATTCCAATCTTTCCATATTAATCCCATTCCCTAGGGAGACACTTGAGACACTATTGGATATGAAATGTGCAGGCAGCCAAGCAAAGATCAGAAACTAAACTGTTTGGCATAAAACCCCCTGTTAGAAATAAATAGATAAAAGAAATCTCTTGCATGTTCTTTTTTATTATACCTCCTGGCAGATCGAGAGAAATTTCCTTAAAAGGGGCAGATGACAAGAATCTATTTACCAAAATGAAAATGGGCACTAACTTTAAATGGGCTGAATGAAAATGAGCTACTAATTTGTAATGCTAGATGTAAATAGTTTGAAATTTTAAGTTGGGTTGCAAATTGCAATACTAGAAGGCTTTAAAAGGCAATTTCTAGATTGTCAGCGGCGCAATTGCCACCCTAACTGACTATATGCATCCGCCCCTGCTAATACAAACGCACGTAAGATCAAACTTCCCAGAAATACACAAGCAGACTTCTTCTACTCCAACAATATATCCACCGTATTGAGCAACTTAAAAGGAAATTTTAATCAGAAAAAAAAATGAATATAAGAAATGTGTGCCAGAGATCCTGCAGGCAGCCTAAACTAATAATGCATTTTTTATTTAAATCTAACCATAACACTAATATTAAAAAGCAAGACAATGATGCTTTTCACTATCTAACTATAACACTAATAGTAAAAAGTGAGACATGACACACAAGTAAGGGCAGTGTTTTCATGGGGAAGACGAGGTGTAAAACCAAGGCATGGGCTGCAGCATTGTGCAATACATCCCGCATCCGTTACAAGGTACACAGGATCAACAATGCATGCACTTAAGTGCACACAGAGCCGGCTTTGGAGGTGTGCAAGGTGATCGACCGCATAGGGTCCCCTAAAATTGGGGGGCCCAATTTTTTTTAAAACTATATTTATATATAGGGAAAACATGGACCGTCCATTTCACAACCCTCAGCTTAATCTCAACCCTCCGTTCAAAAACCCCTCCTTTAAAACGATCCCTACCTACCCATCTTCACATCTCATATTCTCAAACCAGATCTGGTCCGTCCCCTTCCTCCTCTCCTCCGCCCTCGACATCCCCTTGCTCAGCTGAGCGTCGTCGCCAGCTCATCACCCTCGCGGCCTCGCCCTCGCCACCACCTCCCCATCCTCTCCGACTCCACCGCCCGAGGCCCCGAAATCGCCGACTTCGGAGCTTGCCGCCCCCGCTCAGAGTCTAAGATCTGGGATCCCTGACGGCAAAGGCCACCGTAAAAGTTGAGGCTTTTTTTTGGTTGTCTGTATTGAGTTCGATTTTATTTGAGGCTTTTCAATATTTTTTAATTTAGATTTCTTGTTAAATGCGGATGTTTTATTTGGCTTTACAGACGTTATTGTTAAACTTATGGGAGAAATTATGACTTTGGACGAGGGTTTGTGGGCAGATCTATGAATTTGGGATTTGGGATCAATTTTATGATGGATCTAAAGCTTTACCATGTGTTCTTTTTTCTTTTTTGGTTTAATTTTCAATATAATTTCAACTTGTTTAAATTGGAAAACTGGCTTTTTTCTTCACTTGATTAAGCTAGCGTTGTGTTTTTAATTTTTTTAATTATTTTATTTTTATTTTGCTGTATAATTTCGACCTCCTTCAATTGAAAAAGAAAAAAAGAACAAACTTTTCCCTAAAATATTTTAACATGAAATTAGCAGTCCTACCTAAGCACTAAGCTTGTCGTCCATCTTCTCATATCGAAGAAGCTCTAATCTTTTACAATTTCCAATCAATGCAGCATCTTCCTCAAAGAAGAACTGAAGAAGAACCAAAGTCAAGAATTCTGATGGCTGACACAAGAGGACCTCATCTGCTTCTTCCTCATCAGGTTGTATTGTTCCGAATCTTTTGACTTCTTTCAATTTGATTGTAATATTTTTTTGTTTTATTATACAAATGCCTCTAAGAAAATATACTTCTGGATATGATAAACGCAAGAAAAAAAATTGAACAATTTGTCCAAACTCAAAGTGTCATTGTTAGAGAAACACAAGATTAGTTGAAAATTCAATTGAAAATGATAACATTAATGATTTGGACCTGAATGAGTATGAGAATGAAAATGTTGATGATCAAAGTAAAAATAAAAATGATAATGAAAATGAGAATCATAATAAAAATAAAAATGATAATGAAAATGAGAATCGGAATGAAAATAAAAATAAAAGTAAAAATGAGAATCAGGATCAGAATGGAATTGATATTGACAATGAAAATAAAAATGAGAATGAAAATATTTTAGGCAATGAACAATCTAATCAGTCCATGGTCATGAATTTGAATATTTATGATCCAAGAACTTGGGATAATTTGGACACAAATTCTAGAGATATATTAGTGGAAAATGACCCTATAAGAGATCTATTAGTAGAAAAATATCCTAAAGATAAATTAGGAAGATGTTTTCTTTGGCATTTTACACTAGGCATTTATCAAATGGAGAGAAATGTGATGGGGAATGGTTAGTTTATTCAAAGGATATCGATAAAGTATTATATTTTTATTGTAAATTGTTTAAAAATGGTTTTAAGAAAGGCTTTTTAATAAATGAAAGATTTAATGATTGGATACATCTTAGTGCTAGGCTTAAAGAACATGAAACAACTAATGAGTACATCATTAACATGAGTACTTCGCTTGATTTACGCATAAGATTAAAGAAAAACAATGCAATCAATAAAAATATTCAAGAACAAATTAATAAAGAGAAGGAATATTGGAAGAAAATATTACAAAGAATAATTTCTGTTGTTAAATATCTTGCTAAACATAACTTGACATTTCGAGGAACAAATGAGAGAATTTATCAAAATAATAATGAAAATTTTTAGGCCTAATTAAAATAATTACAAAATAGGATCCGGTAATGCAAGAACATGTTCGACGTATTGACCATGGTAAAATTCATTATCATTATCTTGGTCATAGCATTCAAAATGAATTGATAAGTATGTTAGCTTCTAAAATCAAATGTGCAATAGTTCAAAACAATAACGTAGCTAAATATTTTTTAGTAATACTTGATTGTACTCCGGATGCAAGTCACCAAGAACAAATGACTTTAATATTACGATATGTCGATATTTCTACAAGCCTGATAAAAATAGAAGAATTTTTTGTAGAATTTTTAAAAGTAAATGATACATCTGGATAAGGACTTTTCGAATAATTGCAAAATATGTTAAAAACTCATAATCTTCATATTGATAATGTACGAGGTCAAGGGTATGATAATGAGTCTAATATGAAAGGGAGACACCAAGGTGTACAAAAAAAATTACTTGATATAAATCCTAAAGTATTATACACGCCTTGTGGTTGTCATAGTCTTAATTTAACACTTTGTGATATGACAAATTATTGTGGTAAAGCAAAAGACTTTTTTGGAGTGATACAACGCATTTATATATTATTTTCTCACTCAAGAAAACGATGAAAAATTTTGATAAATAATGTAAAAGGTTTAACTGTGAAGTCATTGTCAGCTACACGTTGGGAAAGCCATATTGAAAGCGTTAAAACAATTAAATTCCAAACGTTTGAAATAAGAGAAGCACTACTTCAGTTAGCAGAAGCTGATAATGACTCCAAAATAATGAGTGAAGCAGATTCTTTAGCAACACATAGAATTGAAAATTTTGAATTTTTATTAATTATGATTATTTGGTATGACATATTGTTTGTTGTTAACTTAATTAGCAAAATTTTACAATCTAAAGACATGCTTATTGATAATGCTATAGATTAAGTAAAAGGATTGATTAGGTTTTTTGAGAATTATAGAGAAGTTGGGCTCGCACAAGCTATGACAATTGCTAAAGAAATTGCTACTGAAATAAAAATTGATTCTGTATTTCAAGTAAAACGTCAAATCCGTAGAAAAAGATAATTTGATGAGAATGTTAATGAGGAGACAACACAATCAGCTGAAGAATCTTTTAGAATCAATTATTTATTTGATGAGAATGTTAATGAGGAGACAACACAATCAGCTGAAGAATCTTTTAGAATCAATTATTTTTTGCAAATTGTAGATTAAGCTATTGGTTCACTAAAGAAATGGTTTGAGCAATATAAGCATATGAAGATATTTTTGGATTTTTGTTTGGTTCAGAAAAGTTAAATTCATTAGATGATAATAATTTGAAAGCATGTTGTGATAATCTTAAAATTGTTCTAAAATATAAAACATTTTCTGATCTTGATGGGAAAGATTTATTTGGAGAACTAAAAATCTTACGAAATATTTTACCAAAAGAAACAAAAATGGCTATTGATATACTGAATTTCTTAAAAATACGAAATTATTTTCCAAATGCATGTATTGCTTATAAAATATTATTGACTATACCTATTACAGTCGCATCTGCAGAAAGAAGTTTTTTAAAATTAAAATTATTAATATCTTATCTGAGATCGGCCATGTCACAAGAAAGACTAAATGGATTAGCTTTGATATCCATTGAAAATGATTTTATAGATAAAATTGATGTTAAAGGCTTAATTAGTGATATTTACAGCTAAATTGCAAGGAGGACAACTTCTTGATGATACTTTTTGATGCTAAAGGCTTTGATATCTGATGAAAGTAAGCACAGATACAAGAGAAACATAATATGCAAGTATTTCTTATTGTGGACTGTTTGCTCTATTGAAAGCTTTATTAAGGTGGGATTACATGCATTTATCTGATCAGTAACATTTTATTCAGGTGACCGAAGAGATGAAGAATGAGCAATATCACTTGAAAAGTATGTTAAAGACTATCCAGATGCAAAAAAAACCAGGTAACATTTTAATGTCTGATCAGTAACATTTTGTTCCCTAGCATTTTAGGGATTCAAATTGGAATTCCAGGTAACATTTTAATGTCTGATCAGTAACATTTTGTTCCCTAGCATTTTAGGGATTCAAATTGGAATTTATTGATATTTTGTATATAGAGAAGTGTCATGTGTTTACTTTTCGCACAGGCCCCCTAAAATCTCAGAATCGGCCCTGAGTGCACATCACACGATGTGCAAGGCGCTTCTAATTCTCTGAAGCACCACTATGTGTATGAAGGAGGTCGCAAACAAAACTCATATAGAAAACAATAGTGTTTTGAACCCATTCACACCCAACGTTAGTTTGTTCCTTTTAGTTCTCGGGCAAGCACTTTTCAGAGCTCTTTCTCCATTTGAATCTCTAGAAATCACCAGCCATTTGGTCTTCGACAACATCCCATTCCTTAAGTAAAAAGGAACAAAACATTTTCAAAATCTTTTACTTGAGTTTAGTTTATTAACATAGATTATGGTAGAGAATGTTGGTATTCATTTTCTTTAAGTTTAGTTTATTGATATAGATTATGGTAGATAATGTTGGTATTCATTTTCTTTAAGAATTTTCTTTTTCTTTCTTTTCACTCTTCTTTGTTGTTGGTGTGTGATCTTTTCCTTAGTACACTTCTCTTTTTGGCATCTGTTATGCTCCCCCCGCCCCCCCCTCACTCTCAGTTCCTCCTTCTCCAACTTTCTCCACTTTATTCTTCTCTTCTTTTACAGATTTTATTTTCAACTATTTTCCAGTTTTCTTCTCAGTTTTCTTCTGCTAATATCGCTTTTCCTATAGTTTTCAGTTAATAATTTTATATATCTAGGCACAAATCTTATATCTACATATGATTCATGATCTATGATATGGAAATTATGAACTACGTAATGGTATAATGAATTTGAATGAAATATGTACTGCAAACGTAAATGATCTTATATTTGCTTAAGACTGGCATACGCCTTGCCCTGCACCTTGCACATCAGGCGCCCGGGGTTTATCTCCATCCCAACATTGTTCCTTGCACATTAATAGCACAGCACTAAGCAGGCCATTATCTTCCTTAACAAATAAACTCATGCATGCTTGTGCATGCAAAACAATCTAACAACTTTTAGACCATCAAACAAAGTATCCGTAGGCTTATAAATAACTATCCCAGAACCCCAATGCAGATTTCATGATTCATTTATACATCTCAAGATCATCTTTGCACATTCAATTGTTAGCAAATATACTAAAACTCCCATTAATCATCATTCATCCATCCCACAGAACCACGAATAAAGCCAAATTTACACAAGTAGTTATTTTTTAAATTTAGCCAACATCTCCAGCCTTGCACAAGGTCAATAATTAAGCAAAATTATAGTATCCTCACAAAATCATTATTTCTTAAGCCATAATAGTCATTTTACTTTCTCTTAACAAACATGTCATAAGCTTTTTTGTCGGTAAGTATGAAATACTAATCATGTAGCTTATTAAGTTCCCCATTTCCTCCTACCCAAGAGATTATCTACTCTCTTATCACTCGCTCAATCGAAACCAGTAGCACATTCTCTGTCTGAGTCTCATCCGCGCCATCCCATATAAAATGGTACCAATATGCATTTTTTACTTCTGATATGTGCATTCAACTGTTATATTGATTATTTCCAAGTAATGAGCATAGAAAATTGCACAGGCTATCTTGATAATTTTTAGCAATTTGTTGCCACAAGGTGAAATTGGTGATGCAAACAGGGTCATAAAGTTCTGGATTGTCAAAGAACTGAAACTAACAAAAGTGAAAATGGTAATAAAAACTCTGAACTAATGTTCACCCCAATACCATAGCCCAACTATACATTCAGACCGCAACAAGTGAATCCTACTAAGACCAAAAAATGAAGGGGAAAAACATGAGCAATCTAGAATTATTTAATCAAGATATCTCCACGTTCAAATAGGACATAAAAAGATAGAACAATAATCATCATCAACTAATGACGGCGAGAAATGGATTCAACATCATTAAATGAGATGTCATATAAAAAGATATAATCAAGACGCTAGCCCGTGATAGTAATATAAAGTATACGTGTTGGTGTACTTTTCCTTGCAAGTTTTCAGGGGCTTTCACAAGTTAAGTTCAGCAAATCAAAGTTTTCTTCCTATTAAAGATCCAAATCACACCAGTATAGCATTTGAACAGTCAATTCTCACAAAATCACAAATATATATAAACTTTTACAAAGAAACTACAAATCCAACATGTTAGAAACAAACAAACTTTGACTTTGTAAGCAGTGCCATGGATATTCAACCCTAAAATCAAGAATTTTTTGTCAAATGTTCCATGATAAGCATCTACAAATGAAAAAAAATGTGAAGAGACTCACCGAAGGCTGAAAGTTGAATTTCTTTCTCAGGAGCTGGTTGATTCCTCTTCCAGCAGCCATTTGATTCGGCCTACACCAGTAAAAAAAGTTCAAATGTTGAACAATTAAAATTCACAAGCGCATTTTCTCTGAAATCATCGATCCAAATTTCGATTTGAAAAAAAAAATTTAATAAAATTGATGAGAGATTTGGCACTACCTACCAAATCTAAAGGCAGTAAAACCTAGATCCTTAGAAAATAGATCAAAAAATTTGAAAGAAAACGCTAAAAATAGGTTAAAAATTGAACCTTTGAGAGCTGAAAGCGTCGGCGATCTAGTCGATTAGAGGGCGAGGAGAGGAAAATTATAGG